TACAATTTAATATGACATTGTTTTAAAGAACATAAATTTAATATCATGGCATTGTTTTAAAGTACAATTTAATATTTTGGCATTGTTTTAAAGCTCATCAATCTAATAACTGGGCATTGTTTTAAAGAACAATTTGATATCTGAGCATTGTTTTAAAGAACAATTTAATATCTGAGCATTGTTTTAAAGAACAATTTAATATCTGGGCATTGTTTTAAAGAACAATTTAATATCTGAGCATTGTTTTAAAGAACAATTTAATATCTGAGCATTGTTTTAAAGAACAATTTAATATCTGAGCATTGTTTTAAAGAACAATTTAATATCTGCGCAGTGTTTTAAAGTACAATTTTATAACTGGGCATTGTTTTAAAGTACTATTTAATATTTTGGCATTCTTTTAAAGTTAATCAATTTAATATCTGGGTATTGTTTTAAAGTACAATTTAATATGATATTGTTTTAAAGTACAATTTACTATCTGGGCATTATTCTAAAGCACAATTTAAAACCTGGGTATTGTTTTAAAGTGCAACAATTTAATATCAGGGCATTGTTTTATAGTACAATTTAATATGACATTGTTTTAAAGAACATAAATTTAATATCATGGCATTGTTTTAAAGTACAATTTAATATTTTGGCATTGTTTTAAAGTTCATCAATCTAATAACTGGGCATTGTTTTAAAGTACAATTTAATATTAGGGCATTGTTTTAAAGTACAATTTAATATCTGGGCATTGTTTTAAAATGAAACAATTTTATATCTGGCCATGGCTTTATAGTACAATTTAATATCTCGTCATTGTTTTAAAGGACAATTTTATATTTTGGCATTGTTTTAAAGAACATAAATTTAATATCTCGGCATTGTTTTAACAAAGTATGGGTAGTGTGACACTGAAATCCGAAGAGGCATTAGATAGAGGAATATTTGTTTATACTTTGCTTAACTTCTGGAAAATATATTTTGCTATTGTAGTGGTCTTCGGATTTCGGAGTCATACTTTTTGTTCTCTGACGTAAAAAAAAAAAAATATTCAACTTTACTGAAATACTTGAACCATGGAATTTGAAGAATTTATGACTAAAGATTGTCTTTTTGCTATCTTCTCTAATCCATGTTCGGACAACCATTTGCACAAGCTCGCATGTGACGTGTCCCTTCAGGACGTGGGCGATCATGGCTCTCCACAATTTCCTGTCCTTTGTTGCTCTTAGTAAAGTTTGTCTTTTTGATATCTCCCCTAATCCCTGTTCGGGCAACAATTTACACAAGCTCGTTTTCTTCTTTTATGTGCCAGGTCCCTTCAGGACGTAGGCGATCATGGCTCTCCACAATTTCCTTGCCTTTGTTGCTCTTAGTAAAGACTTTTTGCTATCTCCCCTAATTCCTGTTCGGGCAACAATTTACACAAGCTCGTTTTTCTTCTTTTAAGTGCCAGGTCCCTACAGGACGTAGGCAATCATGGCTCTCCACAATTTCCTTGCCTTTGTTGCGCTTAGTAAAGTTTGTCTTTTTGCTATCTCTCCTAATTCCTGTTCGGGCAACCATTTACACAAGTTCGTTTTTCTTCTTTTATGTGCCAGGTCCCTTCAGGACGTAGACGATCATGGCTCTCCACAATTTCCTGTCTTTTGTTGCTCTTAATCAATTTTGTATTCCTGATATTTCTCCTGATCCCTGTTCCGCCATCCATTTACTCAAGCTGATTATGTTACGCGTTATTTTCCTCTGTCCCGCTTGCCTTCGATCTGTCCTGTGAGTACCAGATTTTCCAAGCCCTCCTTTCTCAGTTGAAGCTGTATATTCCTGATGTTTATTATAAGCTTTCTTTTTGATTTCATTAGAAGATTCAAGTTGTTGAAATAATATTCAAAAAATATCGTCAGAAAAAACAAAACAAAATATTAAGATGTCCAAATTTTCACTTGTTCGCTCCATTGAATTCTCAGCATCCTTCTGTAGAACCGCATTTCTGCTGCCTCTGGTGGGGAGATTGTCCAGCATTCACAGCGCCTCTTAATCTGTAACAATCTACCGTGAGTCGCTCTTGGGCCTTGCACAGCGTGAAAATCATTGTAAAACTCAATCTTGCCCTCAATATGCCCTGTGAGGGTTAAATTTTCTAAGCCCTCCTTCTTCATTATGTGTCAAAGGAATTTTAATTGTCTTTTCCAGATTCTGAGTAGAAGTGTTCTTTCTTTTTGCTTACTCGTTCCATCCATGGAATTTTCAGCATCCTTCTGTAGAACCACAATTTTGCTACCTCCGGTTTTCTCCTCATCCGTGGGGAGATTGGCGAACGTTCATTATGTCATGTGATATCCATCTTCTTGAAGATGGAGATATCACATAGCATAATGAATGCTGCACTTTTTTCTTTGTTTCTAACGATTTTTCCAGTTTCTCAGCACCTTGCTTAGCTTTAAGGAGGCTTCTTTCGCTACTCCAATGTCTGGTCGGATCTCACAGCTTTTTTCGATTTTGTTTGGGTGAACAGACGCCTAAAGGAATGTGGTGTTCCTAAATGTTCTCTTAGGAATAGACTCATTACAATTAATGACTAAGCCACTGAGTGTATTATATAGTAAAAGACCCCTTCTGTGTTCATATATTCTTCCATATAAGTGGATGGATATCACATAGCAACTCAGCACTCTTTTCTTTGTTTCTAACGAAATCTTTCCATTTCTCAGCACCTTCCTTAGCTTATGGAATGATTCTTTCGATAGTCAAATGCCTGGTCTGATTTGGCAGAGTTTTTCGATTTTGTTTGGGTGAGAAGAAGCCTAAAGGAATGTGGTGTTCTTAAATGTTCTCTTAGGAATAGACTCATTACGATTAATGACTAAGCCACTGAGTGTATTATTTATAAAAGACCCCATTTTTGTTCATATATTCTTCCATATAAGTAGATGGATATCACATAGCAATCCATCACTCCTTCCTTTGTTTCTAACGAAATTTTTCTATTTCTCAGCATCTTGCTTAGCTTTTGGGGTGCTTCTTTCGATAGTCCAATGCCTGGTCTGATTTGGCAGAGTTTTTCGATTTTGTTTGTGTGAGCAGAAGCCTAAAGGAATGTGGTGTGCTTAAACGTTCTCTTATTAATAGACTCATTACTATTAATGACGAAGCCACTGAGTGTATTATTTAGTAAAAGACCCCTTTTTTGTTCATATTTTTCCATATCAGTGGATGGATATCACATAACAATCAAGCACTCTTTTATTTTTTTTGTTTCTAACGATTACCCCCACGTTTCTCATCCCCTTGCTTAACTTTTGGAATACTTCTTTAGCTAGTCCAACACGTGTTCAGATTTCGGTGTCGCCATTTTCCAACCTTTATTAAAACGCTTTCTCAATGCTTAATTGCTCTGTCAATAGAATTCTCAGCTTCCTTAGTAGAACCACATTTCTTCTTCCACTAGTTTTTATCCTGTTATGGGACCTTACACACAATAACATAATGGACTATTCCATACGTAATAAATACTGCGCTTCAAGAGGAAGTTCAGTCCGAAGTCGGGCGATCGGCTGACCGGCTGGTCGGTTTAACTCTCTGCCTCCGGGCGGGGAGGAACCCGAAAGAGTTTCTTTCGGGGAGGTAAACCGACCCTGAACCCGTTTATACGTGTTCAAAGGGCATATTTTGGCCGAGCACACGGGCTCGGAAATCACACGTTAAACCGGCCTTGTGCCACATGATGCCCTAGTGGGGGTGTGTGACTAAATACTGTTCAGTCTGAAGTCTGGAGTGAAGTCCGTCAGTCCGTCTGTCAGTCAGTCAGAGTCGAGTCAGAGTCGCAGTCAGTCGAAACAGAGTCGTCCGAAACAAGAGTCGCGTTCAGACAATTACTACTAAACCTGATTGTTCGTACTAACACTTTCTACTTCTCTGTATATATTCCTGTTTGTAATATATCTGTGTTATCCCATATCCGTGTTCGAGTTCTTCTTTATTGGTTCTACCTTGGACTATCACCGTGGTACAAGGAACTGGACCATAACATATCCTCATCCGTGGACTGATTGTACAGCATTCTCTGTCATATAAAAAGATGGATATCACATATCAATCCATCGCCCCGTTATTTGTTTATAAGGAATTCTTTCAGTTTCTCAGCACATTGCTTTTAGTTTAGTTTGGTTTGGGTTATTTTGTTTTATGGAATATCAACACCTGAATGGTTTATTTAATGCCGGCATGATTTTTAGGATAGATTCGTATGAATCGAATATTTCTTTTTTGTCTCATTGACATATTTTTGTAAAGATGGTTTTTTGTCAAACGTCAAATGTATTGCTCGTAATATTTTTTTTCAAAAAATGTATTTGCTAGCAATAATTATTTTTTCCAAAAATGTATTGCTGGTATTTTTACTATAAAGTCATATTTTTACACTTTTATACCGTTTCGAACCCAGTTCGGGGTGGGGGGTTTAACCATTTGCCGAATAGTTGAGACCCTAACAGGTGCTACCCCCTTGGTCAAGGTGGATTTGGCAACACCAGCAGTTAAGAGGTGTTTCCACGCTCCTAAAAACACCTGGATCAGAGGTCCTGATACCGGGTGTAGTTTATTGTCAGACTTTTGGAATGCTTCTTTCGCTAATCAAATGCGTGTTCGGATCACGGTGTCACATTTTGCAACCTCTTCCCGGATATTTAAATTACTTCACCGGATTGATGTTGTCATTTCTAGTTTATTACTCGCATCTCATGCTTTTTGTCTTACTGCTGATCATACTTTATGTATTGGCTAAAAATATTTATTTTTATTTAACTCTCTGCCTTCGAGAGAGAATAAATTTTTGAAGAAAAGCCGAAGGGCAGAGTCTAGTTATAATATGATATATATATGAACCCATTTATTTCATTTTCAAAAAGGGAATATTTTTAATTGAGCCTAATAAAACTTTTTTTTTCACAAAACATCTTCCGGCCTTGTGCCATATGTTAACCCTAAAATTTAGCTAAATATCACTCTTTATGTCTTATTGCGTTTGAACATTAGTCCTTGCTCTCCGTTCCTATTTTCTGTTTATTTAGTCGGGTGCTGATTTTGTTTAGCGGCATATCAACACCTATGTGGGTAATTTAATGCCAAAATCTAACTGCTTTGTACATAATTTTATACTTTCAGAGTAAAGGTATGTTTTTTTCGATATATAATTTGTATTTACATGAAACCACTGAGTTTGTGGTAAAAAGGGTTGAAAGATTTGTGGGCCAACGGGAACCTCTTCTCGCCAAACGAAGAAAAATTGCGTGGTTTGGTCACATTACAAGACACGGCTGCCTGTTCAAGACAATCATGTTAGGCACCGTTGAAGAATTATTATATTAGATTCTAATTATATGGATGTGAAACGTGGACACTGTTGACAGATACAGAGAGAAGGATCCAAGCGTTTGAGAACAAATGCATTAGAAAACTAATTGGCATCTTCTGTTGGGAACAAAAAAAAAACAATGAATTTTGTGGGCCGTCTCGCTACTGTTAAACGGATAAAAATCGCGTGGTTTGGACGCATTACAAGGCACGACAGCCTGATTAAGACCATCATATCCCGAGGCACAGTTTTCCATGGATGTATTCTTAATGCAAACGCCAAAACTAGTTAGACAATGTCAAAGGACAAATATGACTATACTAGAATTGCTGATGGCTACCGTCGATAGAAAGTTGTGGAGGAGATTCAATGTGGAATTTAGTATTCGGACCCTCCACCACATATAATTAAAAAGCCAAGGGGATGTTGATGAAGACCGTGATAATGAGTTTGTAGTTCATAAAATAATATTATGCAGAGGGTGCTAAGAATTATCATGAACGGAGCATGTGAGCATCGATGAGGTCTTGGAGAGAATGCAAACAAGGAGGAGGCTTATACTAAACATCGGGAAGAGGCAGGACACCATGGACCGAGCATATGAGCAACGATGAGGACTTGGAGAGGATACAAACAAGGAGTAGGCTTATACTTAACATCAGGAAGAGGCAGGACATCATGGAGTGAGCATGTGAGCAATGATGATGTTTTGGAGAAGATGCAAACAAGGAGGAGGTTTATACTTAACATAAAGAAGAGGCAGGATATCATGGACCGAGCATGGGAGATATGATGAGGTCTTGCCGAGGATGCAAAAAAGGAGGAGGATTATACTTAACATAAGGAAGAGGCAGGACATCATGGACTGAGCATGTGAGCAACGATGATATCTTGGAGAGGATACAAAAAAGGAGGAGGATTATATTTAACATGAGGAAAAGGCAGGACATCATGGACCAAGCATGTGAGTAACGTGGAGGTCTTGGAGAGGATGCAAACAGGGAGCAGGCTTATACTTAAAATATGGAAGAGGCAGGACACCATGGATCAAGCATGTGAGTAACGAGGAGGTCTTGGAGTGGATGCAAACAGGGAGAAGGCTTATAATTAACATAGGGAAGAGGCAGGACATCATGGACCAAGCATGTGAGCAATGATGAGGTTTTGGAGAGGAATTTAGCCAGCAGAAGGCTTATACTTAACATAAGGATGCGGCAGGTAAAATTTCTGGCATATGTAATGAGAAATGTGAGCCTGGAGAATCTGACACTCAAAGCTCGAATAGAGACAGGGGAAAGCAACGCATGACGTACGTGGTTGGTTTGGGCAGGTGGATGGTGGGTGTGGTCTGGCGGGGGGGAGTTGGCAGAAACACAAAAACTGTTGAGAGCCACAAGGGATAGGCGGAGGTGGAGGGCCAGGATGGCCTACGCCCTGGACGGACACGGTGCACAAAAAGAAACAATTGCTTGTAATTTCACCACAAAAATGTATTGCTAGGTAAGTATGTTATAAAAATTTATCTTCCTACTTTTTACTGTTGATTTTTTTTTTTTGCGGGGTGTGAGGGGTCAGTATTTGCCCATAGCTGAGACCCTAACAGGTACTACCACACCGGGTTCGTTTGGACCAGGGAACAACAGCAGTTACGAGGCGGTTCCACCCACCTCCAACCCTCCAAACTCCTCATCAGAAGTCTCGCTGCACGATGTAGTTTATCGTCACACCCAGGAAACTGTTTCTTTAATATAGCGAAGGTAGTAGCTTCAGCTATAGGTTTGCTCAGTGAGAAGAGGATGATAATGATTACGCTTATAAAAATAAAGTTTCTTTATCCAGTCTGTTTATGATTCATCTATCTATCTATCTATCTATCTATCTATCTATCTATCTATCTATATAAATCTATCTCAACCTCTATATCTATCTATATATCTCTCTCTCTCTCTCTCTCAGTATGATTATATCATTCTGTCTGTCTGTCTATCTCAATCCGTTCATATCTATCTATCTATCTATCTATCTATCTATCTATCTATTTATCAACAGTCTGTTCTTCTTTTTATCTATATATATATATATTTGTGTGTGTGTGTGTGTCTGATCATAATCTATGATATATCTATCTATTCATCTATCTATCTATCTATCTATCTATCTATCTTCATTCTATCTATCTCTCTCAAAATCTTCATATCTATTATATCATCTCTGTCTCTCTATCTCTTTCTCAGTATTTCTTTATATCATTCTGTCTGTCTGTCTATCTCAATCCGTTTCATATCTATCTATCTATCTATCTCGGTAAAATTATATCATTTCATTCTTCTTTCTGTCTATCTCACTGTTCATATCTATCTATATCTATCTATCTATCATCTATTGATAAATATCTATCTATCATATCTATCTATTATCTTTATATCCAAATCTATTCATCTATCTATCTATCTATCTATCTATTCTATCTATCTATCTTCATTCATCTATCTGTTTTCATGTTTTCCACGCGTAAATCAATATCTGACTTTCAGAATTTTTCTCATGTCAAACCCCAACCACCATTTCATCCGTCCCAGAAACGTCCTCATTTCTTCTTGTGGAAGTTCAGAAAGAAAGAAGATGAAAGAAAGAAAAAAAAATAACCTCAAACATGGGGCAAACATTTAAGTTTTAACGTTTTTGAATGCTGCTGCTTCTGTTGTTGCTGTTGCTTTTAAAAGGAAAGCTGAGATCAAAGAAAAAAAAAAATAGAGAAATAATGACTGTGCCATTAATCGACATTTTAATGAAACTTGAAATCCTCAAAGATCAGGATAAAAGGAAAAGAACTAAGATAAATTCAAAAAAGGGAAAATGAAGATTTATAGAACGAAAAAGAATCGGTTGCTAAAAAGAAAGTAGGATTGACATGAAGATGATTGAAAAGAAAGGAAGAAGACAATCTTTGGAAGGAATTCGAATGATTAATTTTTTTCAAAGGTAAAAGATGAAGAAGAAAAAAAAAAGAAAGAAAAGAAGAAGAAAGAAGAAGAAGAAGAAAAAAAGAAGAAGAAGAAGAAGAAGAAGAAAGAAAAAACGAAAAAAAAAGTTGAAAAAAGAAAAAGAAGAAAAAGAAGAAAAAAAAAAGAAGATGGAATTTTTTAAGAAGAAGAAGAAGAAGAAAAAGAAGAAAAAAAGAAGAATGAAGAAAAATAAAAAAAAAGAGAAAAAGATAAGGATAAATGACGAAGAAGAAGAAAAGAAGAAGAAGAAGAAAGAAGAAGAAGAAGAGAAAGACGAAGAAGAAGAAGAAGAAAAGAAGAAAGAAGAAAGAAAAAGAAAAATAAGAAGATAGGATGTAAATTTTACGAAGAAGAAAAGAAGAAGAAGAAGAAGAAGAAGAAGAAGAAGAAAGAAGAAAGAAGAGGAAGAAAAGAATAAGAAGGAAGAAGAAGAAGAAGAAGAAAAAAAGAAGAAGAAAGAATACGAAGGAGGAGGAGGAGAAGAAGAAGAAGAAGAAGAAGAAGAATAAGAAGAAGAAGAAGAAGAAAGAATAACAAGAAAAAGAAGAAAGAATAAGGAGAAGAAGAAGAAGAAGAAGAAGAAGAAGAAGAAAGAATAACAAGAAAAAGAAGAAAGAATAAGAAGAAGAAGAAGAAGAAGAAGAAGAAGAAGAAGAAGAAGAAGAAGAAGAAGAAAGAAAAAAAAAAAGATAATAAAAGAAGACGAAGAAGAGGAAGAAAAAAAAAACAAGGAGAAAAAGAAATTAAAGAAAGAAAGAATAGGAAGGAAAGAGGAGGAGGAAAGAAAGAAGAAGAAGAAGAAAAAAAGAAAGAAAAAATAAAATTATGGAGGAAAGGAAAGAAGAAGAAGAAGAAGAAAAAAAATATAAACGAATAGAAGACTAAGAAAGGAAGAAAAGAATAAAACTTATTTGGTAAAAAATAAGAAGAAGAAGAGAAAGAAACAAAGAATAAGAAAGAAAAAATAAAGAAAGAATATTTAGGAAAGAAAGAAAGAAAAAATGTCAAGAAGAAAAAAAAGGAATCGGAAAAAAAAATTTGAGAAAAAAAGATGATAAATAAATAAGAAAGAAAGAATAGAAGAAAGAAAAAAAAAGAAAGAAAAAAAAAATATAAACTTATGGAATAAAAGAGGAGGAGAAGAAAGAAAAAGAAGAAAGAAAGAAAAAAAAAAATTTCTATATCAATCATGTAACAAAGAAAAAAGAAAAGAAAGAAAAAGAAGAAAGTATAAAGAAAGAAAAAAAAATAATAAAACTTATGGAATAGGTTTTTTTTACAAAAAAGAAAAGAAAGAAAAAGAAAGAAAGAAAGAAAAAATTAAACTTTGGAATAGAATAAGAAAGAAAAATAACAAGAAAGAAAGAAAAGAAAGAAAGAATAAAAAAAATCTGTGTATGGAGGAGGATAAAGAAAATGAAGAAGAAGAAGAAGAAGAAAGAAAAAAAAAGAAAAGAAGAAAGAAGAAGAAATATAAACTATTCGAAAAAATAAAAAGAAAGAAAGAAAGAAAGAAAAGAAAGAAAAGAAAGAAAAAAAATATAAACTTATGAAGTAGAAATTCGAAAAAAGAAAAAAGATACGGTAAATGAATAGACGATGAAGAAAGAAAGAGAAGAAAGAAAGAGAGAAAAAAAAGAAAAGATGAAGAAAAAAATAAAAAAAGAAAGAAAGAAAGAAAAAAAAAAAAAAAAGAAAGGCAAAAAAAAAAAGAAAAGAGGACGGAAAGAAAGAAAAAAAAATAATCAATAGAAAAGAAATCAAAGAAATAAAAAAGATTAATAAATAGAATAAGAAAAAAGAAAGAAAGAAAGAAAATAAATAAATAAAAAGAAAGGTAAAAAAGAAAGAAAATGGATCAAGGAATGTGTTGGATGACAAAAAAAGAAAGAAAGAAAGAAAGAAAGGTATAAAAAAGAAAGAAAGAAAAGAAAGAAAGAAAGAAAAGAAAAAAATAAAAAAAAAAATTGTAAAGAAAGAAGAAAAGAGACAAATAAAAAAAAAAGAAAAAAACGATAAAAATGAAATAAAAAAGAAAGAAAGCGTAGATAGAAACGCAAAAAAAAGAAAAAAAAATTTTAAAAGAAAGAAAGAAAAGAAAGGTAATAAGAAAGAAAGAAAAAAGAAAAAAAAAGAAAAAAGAAAAAAAAAATATAAACTTATGGAATAGGTAATAAGAAAGAAAGAAAGAAAGAAAGAAAGAAAGAAAGAAAGAAAAAAAATATAAACTTATGGAATAGGTAATAAGAAAGAAAGAAAGAAAGAAAGAAAGAAAGAAAGAAAGAAAAAAAATATAAACTTATGGAATAGGTAATAAGAAAGAAAGAAAGAAAGAAAGAAAGAAAAAAGAAAGAAATATAAACTTATAAGGAATAGACAATAAGAAAGAAAGAAAGAAAGAAAAGAAAGAAAGAAAGTTTAAAAAGAAAAAAAAAATATAAACTTATGAAAGAAAGAAAGAAAAAGAAAAGAAAAAATTAAAGGAATAGGCAATAAAAAGAAAAAAAGAAAGAAAGAAAGAAGAAAAAAGAAAGAGAGAAAGAAAGAAAAGAGAAAGAAATAACAAAATTTTGATAGAAGAGAGAAAGAAAGAAAGGAAGAATGAAGGAAACGAAAGAAAGAAAAGAAAGAAAAGAAAAAAGAACGAAAGAAAAATGTCGAATAAGAAAGAAATAAAACATGAGAGAAAGAAATGAAATCGAGATAAAAAAGAAAGGAACAAATATTAATACGAAGAAAGAAGGAAAGAAAAAAAATGAAAGAAAGAAATAACTAAACGAAATGAAAAAGATGTAAAATATAAGAAATGGATGAAAATGCTTGCGAGGAAGAAAGGTAGAAATATGAGATAAAAAGTTTCAGAGAAAGAAAAAGAGTAAAAGAAATATGGAAAGAAACAAAGAGAAGTAGAAGAAAATGGAGAGATGAGAAAAAGAATGACAAAAAAGGAAAGTAAAAGAAAAAATGATGGTATAATTAGAAATAAAAAGTGGAGATAAAACAAAGAAAAAATAAAACAAGGATAAAGAAAAAAAGAAGGAAGGAAGTGAATGAAAAACGAGGAAGAAAAAAAAACAGAAAGAGTCAAATTAATGAAAGAATAAAGAAAAAGAAAGGAAGTAAAAATGATGAACAAAAATCAAAAGGAATAGAAATAAAGAACGAAAGACGTATGAAATAGATAAATAGATATTAGCAGGTTTTGATAGATAGATAGATAGATAGATAGATAATGAATAAAGTGAGATAGATAGATAGATAGATAGATAATGAATAAAGTGAGATAGATAGATAGATAGATAGATAGATAGATAGATATGAACAGATTGAGAAAGACAGATAAATATGAGGACGCTTTGATATATATATATATATATATTAAGAAATGGACAAAGTCCGATAATTTATTAAAAAAAAATGAACAAAAAACAAAAGGAATCGAAATAAAGAACGAAAGACGTATGAAATGTCTGAGAAATTTTACATTTGATACGCCATGAGCAGTTATGAATGTACGTGAGAGATACATGGAAGATTGAAGTTTATAAGCAGTAAATTCGACCTTGCCAATCGAACGATCCTTTGTGGCTGAGCGGTTAGGCATGTCAAGATAAATGACGGTTCCGTATAGGATGCAGGTTCGAATCCTGTCAAAGGACAAATATTTTCTATGAAAATTTCTCGGACATTCAGGCCGGTAAATGTTATTTAATACTATTTATTATAAACAGAGCATTTACTAAAATACATGTATCTATAAAAATAATGTTAACCATAAAAACGTCTTTAATATATATATATATATATATATATATATATAACAATGGATAGATAGATGAAAGATTGATGTAAATAGATATGGAAAAAATGGCATATATATATATATATGTAGATAGATATGAGCCTAACGAAACAGATAGATAGATATGAACAGGCTGAGATAGATAGATAGATAGATATGAACAGATTGAAACAGAAAGATTGATATATATGAATAGGCTGCGATAGATAGATATTAACAGACTGAAATTGATAGATAGATAGATATGAACAGAGATAGATATAAAAGAAAGAAAGAAAAGAAAGAAAAAAAACCTTATGGAGAGAAAGTAAGAAAGAAAGAATAAAGATAATCTCACCCTCCGCTTCATAGACATATATATATAAATCATGTGCTGAAGCGAGAAAGTTTAAACCAATTCCAAGAGAAACCAGTAGCTTTGGCGCCAGCGAAATTGGATCAGGAAAAATGAAACTTCTTGAATGTTCGATGAGAAAAGAAGACGACGCCGAAGAAGAAGAAGAACAAGAAGAAAGCGGTCTTGAGGTGGGGAAGTGGCGAGTGAGAAAGAATAGGAGATATTATAAAGGGAAGTTAGCGGAAAGGAAGGGATGATGGGATTGATAACGAGGAAGAAGGACAAGAAAAGAGACAACAAAAGAAAGAAAGAAAAAAGAAAGACCAAGATACGGATGTCTAAGGGTGACAGAAAGAAATGGCTAAATTTCAGAGGAGAAGGTTCGGCTGATATTCAGAGAAAGAAAAGAAAAAAATGAAAATTAAAAAAAAGAAAAAAAAAAAAAAAGAAACAAGGATAAAGAAAAAGATAAAAAAAATGGATTAAAAAAACAGAAAGGCTGAAAATACAGAAAAGAAAGGAAGAA